CTTGTGTTTGGATATCATTTAATTATAAAAAGGAAATCTTTGTAATGAGAAAAATTTTCGAGTCAATTTCTCATCAAACTATGATATTTTAAAATTGGTTAATGAAAAACTCAAAAGCATTTTTAATATTATTTCTCTTGTTAATTATTATACGACGGCCATAATTCCAGATATAGGACACAGATGGTACCTACTCATTCTTTATATATAATGAGAAGGATCTAGAAGACCTCTTTAAGAACTCTATGGAGGCAAAGAGAGAGATAAGAATATGAAGAAACTAAATTTTAATACAGATATATTTTGATTCAAACAATTTACTTACAAGGGAAAGGAGATCAAGCATCCTCTAATATATAAATGGAGGAACTGCTGGTTGAATATGGGATATGCAATAATAAGAAACAATACGAGAACAAATATATGGTGGCAATTAGTGTAGGATATGGCTACTGCATGGTAGATGAGAAGAGTACTTATGAATTTGAAGGAACAAGCGAAGGATTAGCACTATTTTTTTAAATAAGAGATGGATTATTTAAAAAATTATATGACTGCAATGGAACCGACGGCATGATGGATGGAGGAAGTAGAGGGGAGAATATACACAGCTTTAAGTGATAATGAATGGTGTAAAAAAATGGGTCTTATGGGAAAGAGAGATGAGTGGCTTGAATAAATGCTAGCATAGATGCTAAATGATGGACAATAGATGAACAGATTTGGAATGACGTACAAAATACCAGAAGCCTTTTTCAAAACATCTAATTTGATAACGCACGGGAGGATGGATGAAGGAGAAAGAGAGAAGATTTAGTATAAGGACGCAGTGTTTGGAAGGCAAAAAGGGTAAGAAAGAATTAGCAATGCAGAAACTACCTGTTACTTACATAGAAGATAGAGGATTTAGAAGAATTTATGAAGAAATTTAATATATACCCTAATAGACATATACATGCAAGACCTAAATATGATACATTATGTGTTGATGAACTGTCAGGGTAAGTGTAACAAGATTTTACCAAATTATATAGAGGTTTGGCTGGGGCTTAATGAATGTTCAAGTGGCTCAGAACAGATAGTTAATAGATGTGAAGACTATGATAACGTCCTGGGCACAAGCAAAACAGAAGTGGGAAGATCAATTTACAATACACACAAGGAAGAGAATTGAATAATTATATATGCATTCATTATACATTAAGATCTTTTACTATTTTCAGGTAATTTTATCCTTATAGAAATCAAGAAATTCTAGTTCTATATCATCTCTATTAATTATTAAAAAAAAATCCATGTTTCAAAAATTAATTTAAATTATTATTTTTTTATTGATTTTTGCCAATTTAATTCATATTTCATTTGATTATTATTTGATTTGATAGAATATATCTTCTAATTAAAATATTAATATATTTTATGACAGATTTTACTTTATAAAAATCATAGACTGTATTATATTTGTTATTCTAAATAAATATGAAAAACAACTATTAATTGAAGTTGAATTTCTAAGATTATCATATTTACAGAGTTAAATTGATCTCAATAAAAATCATTTGTATGAATAAGAATTAATAAAGACTCAACGGAAATATGAACAAACTTTTAATAAGGAGTACAATGAATCATCTCTCTTCTATATGATGAGCATTACTCTTAAAATTATCATTCTTTTCTAAAAGACTTTTTAAAAAATTCATCATACCCTAAAGTGACATTAATGTGTCATTTAGAAATTCTTTTAAATGACAGATTAATTTTACCCACGCAAACATAATTTCAATACAAGTTCATATAAATAATATTATCCTTATAGATATTATATTTACTTTTTAATTAGTGATAAAATATAACTTTACTCTTTTATAATGTTGATAAAAAATAATTACTAAAGCTTCTTTATTCTCTATTCGCTCTTATTAAATTGTATTGTTTTTTTTAATATAATTCACCATTAGAATTAGAAATTTATTATTTTTAATGTTGTTTTTCAAACTTTAAATTTTCTTTATATTATTTCTTCATCATTTATTTCGTGTTAGCGATTTCAAATCTATTAAACTTATATATTTTAAGACATTTATTCTAGCAATTTTTGAATTTATTCCTGATTTGATTCATTACCTCAATCGTTGAAAATGATTTTTTCAAATGAGTTTTGTTGAGGAAGATGAACATTTTTATACAATCAGAAATTTTTTTATAATCTCTACATTTATAATATTATTTGATATTAATCAACTCTTAGAAACTAATCCTTTTTATGCCATTAGTAATTTCTTATTCAGATATTTGCTCTACATAAATATCATTGTTCTAATTTTTTATCGATGCATCAATGGTGATTTAATTAAAGTTTGATAATTTTTTTAACACAGGCAAAAATTTCAATTGTATAAAACTTGATATCAATAATTTAATATTAAAAATAATAATAGAATTAAAACATCATCAAATTAAAATATTATAGTGTCTATAAATTATAAGCTATTATTTTATAATTATTTTTTCTCTTTATAATTTTGAATTTTATACACTTTTTGCATAAAAAATTATTGTAGCTCAATATTCCTTAAAAAAGTGATATAAAAATAAAATCTTTTTTATTTATTTTATATTCAATAAATTTTCTTTCATAAATTATTTGAAGTCTCCACTTAATATTATCGGTTATTTTCTTATTATTTAGGTTAGAATTGAAATAATTTTATAATTTATTAACATCTATAAAAATTTTTTTATATTAATTAAATCAATTTACTTTTGATTCAATAAAAATTAAGATATTTCATAATTTATTATTGCAACACCAAAACTTAGAAATCATCCATCTAATTTGCTAAATTCAGATCGTTACTAAGAAGAGTTGTATTGCTATAATTTATCTTCAATTTAGAGAATCTGAGCGGGATAA